TTTTTTGAACCTTGAAAAACAGATTCATTATTAAGCAAGAACATTCAATGAAGAAATAAAACCTTTGCTGACCAAATTTCCCTTTATTGCTCTTGATGAATGCTCTTTTTACCCAAATTTAGACCCAAGGTTCGGATATTCTTTAAAAGGGAGCAGAGCGGTAGAGAAAAGTCCAAGTCATAAAGGAAAACATTACACTCTTTTGTTTGCTATTGGAAATTTGGAACAAAAAGGAGTCATTCACTGAAAACTTGTTGAGGGAGGTGCTAACTGGAGAGTTTTTTATGATTTTTTGGAAGAAATGAATCCAATAGGAGATAAAAGGAATATTCTCCTCATGGATAATGCTCGTATCCACACTGCTCCGAATAAGAGAATGGAGGTAAAATTGCCTACTGTTGAGGAACAAATGGAAAAGAGAGACATAGAAATTAAGTTTATTGCCGCTTATGCTCCAATGCTTAACCCCCACTGAACTGGCATTCTGTTTGCTAAGGCAGCAAACCGAAAAACAGAGGCCTAGGAACTGAGAAGAAATGAAAAAGGCAATAGAAAAAGTTGTAGAACTATTGAATAACAAAGACTTGCGTAAATATTTTTGACATTGTGTAGAATATTTTGACAGAAAAGATACTAAAATTAAATTAAAGAACTGACATTTAATTCTGACTTTGTAATATTTTTTCTTCAGTTACGAAAATGCTGGTTGGGTTAACTCTTTTTCCCGACCCGATTGCTAATTGCTTTAAGTCTTTTCTGGTGAAAAAACCGGTATCAATCCGCACCAGCGGTTTAGCCAATTTTGGTAGTTTAGTCTGGCGAAATCTTACTAACAATTTTCCTAACTTTTTTAAAGTTTCTACATAAGTCAACATTTCTTCTTCTTTAATTTCTAACTGCACTTTGACGGCTAACTTGTGAATTTTTTCGCTGGTGAGCATTTTTTACTAAAAATTAAAAGATTTTTTTGTTTAAACCTCGTAAACGCTTAACTTTTCCCGACTTGGAACTTTCCCAAAATCGGTTCATTTTTCAAGTTTACTTTTTTTTCAATTTTCATCTATATTATAATTATAATGATATTGGGGTCTATAGCGATTAACTTTTCAATTTCCCTTTATCAAAAAAAGCCCGATTATTTTATTTAACTTGGTTATTAGCAAAAATAATCGACCTAGTTCATATTTACTTAATAAATCAGTTCTTTTCTAATTCTTCGTAAGTAAATTGTTCGAGGGATTTATTGGATTATGCTGTAAATTATTATCCGAGAAAAAATTAGTTCCTGCTTTGGTTGTTTCTTAATAAAAAAATTACTTGGCAATTTAGTTTAGCAAAAAACTGGAAGATTTTTTTGTAGAACAATAATGAATCAACACCTAAATCCATGCCTTTTGTCTACAATGTTTTCGCTTTGGGAGCGGTTTTGAGTAGCTTTTTTTTGCTTGATAAAACGTTGCCAACTTGGCGAAAGAAATTAAACAACTGCCGCCTAAGAAGGGGAGAAAAATTCTCATTTCCTTGCTGGTTTTTTCATTAAAAAATCACATCTCTCTTTATAACTAAAGACCAAGAACCTTTTATGATTTTCGCTTTCGATTATATGCTATAGGTTCAGCAAAAAGTAGCATAATAATTAATAATATATGACAGAAAAAGCAAGTTGAAGAAAAAGTCTTACGGAGTATAAGGATGAAATATTGGTGGTGACTTCTTTATTATCTGTATTGAATTTAATATTAATGGGCATTTCGCTTTATTTTCAAATAATGGCCTATAATAAAAAATAAGCTAACCAAAAGGCACTAAAACTTGCGGATTATTAACAATTTCTTGTAAGCAGTCAATTAAGCGGTCAATATCATCCTGGTTATTATGTATGTCAAGAGAAATCCGCAAAGCCGAGTTAACACCAATTACTTCGGCTAAATACGGACAACAAAAATCTCCGGCCCGGAGTAAAATATTCTTTTTTCCCAAGTAATCAGCAACATCGTGGGCGTGACAACCAGCCAAGTTAAAAGTGATAATAGTAGGGGAAAATTGTTTTTGATTGTAAATAATCAGGCTAGGGATTTGGTTTAATTGGTGAAGAGCGTAATTACGCAGTTGAGTTTCGTGATGGTTAATCTCGGCCAAATTTAATTTATTTACAAACTCCAAACTGGCCCGCAGACCAAAGATTTGGGCTAAAGGTAAAGTTCCTACTTCAAATTTTTGGGGTAAAAATAAATCCAGTGGGGTAATTTTTTCGTCCGGACTATTTTTTTTACCACCTCCTCATAATAAGTGGGGTAGTTTAGCGGCTAAAGCTTTTTTCAGCCACAAAATCCCGATTCCGATGGGACCATAAATTTTATGTCCTGAGAAGATTAAGGCATCAATATTTCATGTGGCTACGTCAACAGGCACATGAATAATACTTTGACAAGCATCCACAATGACCAAACATTCCGGATTTATTTTTTTAATTTGGCGAGTAATTTCGGCCACCGGATTAATTGTGCCTAAACTATTACTTAGATGAAAAAAACTAACTATTTTAGTTTGGTGATTAATGTAGTTTGGTAATTGGTCGATATTAATAACAAAATCCTTAGTGAGAGGCAAAAAAACTATTTCGGCTGCTTGGGATTGGGCGGCCGCTTGCCAAGGATAAAGATTAGAACTGTGTTCTAAATGGGTTAGAGCAATTTTATCACCCGAAGTTAAGTAATCACACAAGGACAAAGCCAAAATATTCAAGGCGTAAGTAGCCGAAGGAACAAAAATAATTTCTTCGGCTTGGGCTGCAATCTTTTTGGCAACTAATTGGCGAGTCTGTTGGGTGGTTTCTCATACTTGTTGAAACCAAGGATTATTGCTTTCACTATGAGAATTAATAGAACATTTTTGGTAATAATCAGTAACGGCTTGGATTACCGTCTCGGGTTTAAGACTGGTTGCCGCATTATCCAAATAAACTAGACTTTTTTGTTCGCGTAAAATTGGAAAAAAACCACGAAAATCCTTGCTTAATCTTTTTTCGACTAACTTTTTTCCCAGCAAGAAAATAATTTGCGGTAGTTCGGGTCCTCTTTGTTTTCCGGTTAGTAATTTTCTTATTAATGAATAAAACTCTTTTTTGGGTGCTTGATTGTCTAAACAGACCGATTGTAGCCCTAATTTGATATCTTCTAATTCCCATTTTGGTAATTGACTTAACTGTTTTTGCAACTGCTTTAATCAGGAAAGCTCTTTCTCCTCGAAGATGACTGGACTTGGTGGTTCTTGGAAAAAAAAATCTGTTAAGGCCACTAACTCTTGAAAATAATTTAGTTGAGAACGAAAAAGACCCGCAATTCGTAAGGTTCAGTCTTTTTGTTCCTGTGATAATTCATAGGCTTTTTTTAATACTGGCCAAGAATATTCAGCAAATTCTCCGTCAGTTAATTTTTGAATATAGTGTTGGTTGTATCAGTTGAGTTTTTCCTTGGAATAAACTGCTCCGCGGGCATGAAGTCCGGCTAAATTAAATTCTAGGATGGCTTCTTTGGGAGAGAAAATTTCCCGAGTGTTTCCCGGATGTCATCCCAAAAAAAGTAGATAGTTAACTACCGCATCCGGTAAATAGCCTGCTTCTCGTAATTGCCTAATTAGTTGAAACTGACTAGTTTCTTGGTCGCGTTTGGAAAGTTTTTTTCTTTCTTGATTAAGGATTAGCGAGAGATGACCGAATTGTGGTGAAGTTCAGCCCAAAGCTTCGTATAAAACTAGTTGTTTGGCAGTGTTGGGTAAGTGTTCCTCGCCCCGTAAAATATGACTAATTTGCATGGTGTGGTCGTCAACTACCACAGCAAAATTTAGCAAAGGAACACCGTTGCTTCGACAAAGCACAAAATCCTCGATATCACTACCGGGAAAATTAACGGGGCCTCGCACTAAATCAATTAGTTGGTAATTTTTTCTTTGATTAACCTGAAAACGAATAACGTAGTTTTGTTGACTTTGTAATAAGGAATTAACTTCGGCGTCAGTTAATTTCAAACATTTACGCGAATACTGGTAATTACGACGTCCGGACTTTTGAAATTCAAATTTTTCTTGGGCAAAAATAGGAATCTCGCCGCCTCAATATTTCTGTCTTCTCTCTTGGTTAACAGTTTCCAAATCTAATGCTTGGTATTTCTCTCTTCGCTCGCGATTTTTCTCCTCCTTGATAGTTTTTCATTTCGCTCGTCTTTTGGTATTTTCCTCTTTTTTATGCTTGGCTCACCATTTTCTCCTTCTTTGATTTTGCCTCTCCCTTGGAGTTAACTGTTTTTTTTTTTTTTTTGCTGTCATTTGTGGATTTCATAATAAGTTCAGCGAGTTCAGCCCGCTTTCTAATTAGTTCCGAAATCCACAAAGAAAACTTAACTAACTTACTAACGGACTGCCCTCGCTCAACTTATTATTATAAGTTATACATATATTTAGTTTTAGTTCATTATATAAATGTCCGTTTAGGGTCAACTTTGAGCCATATATATTTCTAATCCGTTATACTATCACAAGCCCAGCCGTTAGCAAAATCGCATCACGAGATTTGCCCTTTTTTACTAGTTCCCCAAAATTTTTTTTAAAATTGAAGTAATATGTATCTATGCCAGCGTTGCCAAAAACAAGAAGTTAGAGAATTAGGAGAAAAATGTAAATTTTGTCGTCAAGGAACGCCGATCGAAAGTATTCCTGTCGGAGACAACCTTTCTGCTTTGAGAAGTGACCCAAAATTAAGACCCACAACAGAATTATATGAAGAGATGAAGGAAAGGGCAAAAACAATTCAAATCAGACAAGCCAAAAGGCACGGCTCACAATTCAATACTCCCACAACTTCTAGGCAAAACACCCCCGCTCATTCTCGTCAACCTTCCCGCAGCCAAACACCCGAATTAATCCAGTTTTCTCGCAGCACTAGCCCCGAAAATCAAAAACAATTTCGCAAGCAAGTCGACGAAACTTATGACATTCCCGAATTTTCTACTCTTAATCAATCCCCAGCCACCGACGCAGGCTCTTATGTTGGTATTGCCGTTCCTTACCAAATTACGGATGAGCAAGAAAGTTTAAGCGGTAGTTTTTTAGATGACAGCCAAATATTAAGCCAATTTCCTACTAAGGAAGACACAGCAAAAACGCTTAATATCAACAAAAACGACCAACTAGGAGAAATTTCCCAATTGTTTCAACAAATCACCAAGGAAAACAATGGAGAAAGTCCTATCGACCCTAATGATGAAAATTATGTAAGCCCTAGCGTCAGCCCTCTCTTAAATGTGCCGCAACAATATAAGCGGTTAAGTTTCACTTCTGACGCTTTCAGTGTTATTACCAACGAAATTAATGAAGAAATAGCCAGCTCACCTTTGGAAGATAGTAAGGAGTTCAATTATAGTGAGGAAATCATAAAACGAGTTAACAATTTAGGAGAACAACAACTAGAAACTATTATTGAGGAAGAAGAAGGGCCCGAAAATGAAACTGAAAACCAAGAAGATTACCGGCAAATTATTGATGTGGTTTTAGAAGGAGAAGAAAACAAACGCAAACTAGTGCGTAGAAAAGTTAATGTTAAGAAATTTGCTGAAAAAACCGGAAAGAAAATTATTGAAATAGGTTCTAGAGTAGCGGATGTGGCTTTAAGCGAAACAACCCAAAACATAGCCAAAGTAGTTTTAGCCCCTATTCCAGGAGGCTCGGTAGTGGCTGATTTTACTATTGGCGGATTAAGGCAAGCCAAACAAACCATCGGCGAAATTCAACAAAAAAAGCGGGATTTGTTAGCAACCAAAAACCTTCTAACCGAAAACGAAGAGGAGTTTTTTGATGTTGATGAAGCCGAAAAATTAACCACAGAACACGCGGAACAAGAACAAAATTATTTCTTGAAAGTTAATCAGAAATTAGACGAATTATTAAACCGCCGTAATAGTGCTAATGAAAAGTTTAAGCAGTCGGTTGATATCATGGAAAATCAAGTAGACTTTTCTGCCCAAATCAACCAAATAAGCAAGGATATCGGCGTTGTCAACACTACTCAAAAAAATCTTGTGGAAGCCATAACCAAAATGGGAGAAGGGATAAAAACACAATCTGACGAATTTGAAAAAAAATTAACTACTGACATCAACACTTCTCTTAATTCTCTCAATTTTTCTACTCAACTTACACAATTGAAAACCGACTTAACCAAAAACTTAAAACCACAATCTCCACAATCGCAAAACAACAACGGATTAATGATTGTTATTGCTATCGGATTTATTGCCAACCTTGCCCTCGGCATTCTTAACTATTTCAAAAAAAGCCCCGAAGTTCAACCCCCAACCGCTTAAAAAAAAATAAGGAAATAATTAATTTTGTTTTCCCCAATTGGTTTTGACCTTCACCATTCCTTAATTGGTCTGGTTGTTGTTTTTTGTTATTTTCTGGCATGTTTTTTGTCATTGCCATTGGCCTCGTTAGTTTCTCGGAGTTTCTGTGAGGTTCTGACGGGAGCTAATTGAGGAAAGCAATAATTAATTTGAAAAATAATAATAAGAAATAATAATAAGATGTGAACCTCACAATTCATATCTTACAAAGTGCTATTGTAGCGTTTGCATTATAGCACTATGCATATAAGCAAAGCATAATCAAAGAGGGAGATTATTGTCGCTCTAAATTAACTTTTCAATGGAACCAACACAAACGGAAATTTATATTAGCGTCTACCAATGCACCCGTTTTCGTTGTTGGTTCCATCAAAAAATTGATTAATTTTGGAAATATTAAAGATTGACGACTGGTGGATTTATTTTTTATTATATGGTTTTTGATAATCCCCCCCAATCCCAAACTAAAAACTTTCTTAAATGGCAGACGAGGAAAAAAAAGAGAAAAAGGTTATTGTAAACGAAGACCAAAATTCCAAAGAATACAGCGAGGAGGAAGTGCGAAAAATATTTCGTAATCCTAAGACTTTCATTCTTCACACTTCGGCAGAACTTGGCAAAAACACTATTCACATTACTACTGCCGAGGAAAAATACGGCCGCACTTGCCTCGGAATAATCCAAAAACAATTCAATCTCCACGAATTAGACCAAAAATATTACGAGAAAAATGCCGAATGCACTAAATTGAGAGAAGAATTGAAAAAACAAGAAGGAAAAGAAAGTGATTTGGAGCAAAATGTTCGGCTAGAAAAAAAATTGGAAAACAAAATTGAAGAAACTAAAAACACTATTCTTGCTAATACCCCGCCCTCTTGGCAC